AACAAAAAACAAACAAAAAAGTTTGGGAAGAATACATTCAGCAGCCACACATATAATTTTTACCTGGCAGATTTCAACTTTTGTGAAAACCTGCCACCTAAGAGGTTGAGATCATTTTAACAATTTATATTTTCAGTTGGGTTGAGAACTTAGTAAACATCAAAACACAGTTAAAAAACGCTTCACCTAGCTTTTTCCAATAGTTTCCAATTGTTCACAGGAACTGGATTAACAAATCTACAAACTTAAAATGTCCCTATTAACATATCATCAATATTCATATATGCTTCCAAAGTACATGACCTTTTACCACAGTCCAATGTAAGTGTCATTAAAGATTTAAAAATAACACACATAAGGATCCCTGGGTCGCTCAGCGGTTTAGCATCTACCTTCGGCCCAGAGCGTGATCCTGGGGTCCCGGGATCAAGTCCCACATTGGGCTCCCTGCATGGAGCCTGCTTCTCCCTCTGCCTATGTCTCTGCCTCTCTCTCCCTCTCTCTCTCATAAAAAAATAAAATCTTTAAAAAAAAAAAAAAAAGGTTAAAAAAACAAACACACACAGAGTACTCTTTTTCAGGAAAGGCAAATCATTGTAGGCTCTGTTGCTAATACCTAACCCCCAAAGAATATTCTTGGTAATAACAGTTTTCCAACCATCCTCTTTCAGGCTTCCAATATCCTGTTTAACACCCTCTATTTCAAAGAACAATCCGCATTTACTACCTCCTTCCTTTCACAAAGGGCCAAAAAACGTATGTTTTATCTAAACCTCAATATTCCCTTCTAATTGTTAACTCAACAGAAGTACCATAAGTACTATTCTACACAACATTTAGGGTTTTTTTTTACTAAACTCAGAAAGATAAAATCACTTTTTCTGTTGATCTCTTTAGGTATTTCCTATTTAGAGGAGAAAGGGTCAGAAGGAGGATTTTAATGACCTGAATCAGGGCTTCTCAAAGGTTATTAGAATGTGACTGATCATATTCTGTGTCTAAGGTAAACAGAATATGGGCTTACTATCTGAAATACAGACTGGTGGCAAGGCCTCCTGGAATAATAAAGCAGACAGGTGATTGCTATAACCTGAGGAAAACCAAGGGCTCTTCACATCCCTGGAGGAGAAAGCACTATGTGCATGTGCTTAGATCAAGGGAGAAAAATCAAACCTTTTGTTTACATCCTTGTATACATGTTTATAAATATTTTATTAACAACATATCTGTGCCATATTTACTGCAAGTATCATTATTGTTCCTGTCAATTTATTTACTTTTACAATTAAAAGAATGTTTTCACACTACTAAGAAAAGAATCTTTTTCATGCTACTTATAGCTTAATTATCCAAAAGTGCCCACTTCTGCTATGGAAGCTTAAGGCTAACAGGTAAAAACTCAAATGTCATTTTATAATAAAGGAAATGGTTTTGGCACAAATCTCACCCTGCTGATGCAGAGATTATAATCCCTCTGTATCAGTAGCACTGGAAAACACAGGTTCTACTGCTATCAAGCCAAGACCTTGGGGAAAAAAAATACCTCAAGTAAAGAAAATTCTAAAACTGGAGGAAGAATGTGTTTAAAACTTTTTACACAAAACCTAAAAACAAATAAATCATAATAAATATTCTGAAAAGATCCTAGACTAACAGTAAATGGCACAAGCAATGAAAATATAACAAAAAACCAAACCAAAAAAATATACTAAATAATATTTGAAAAAAAATAATACTTGAGGAGTTACCTTAAAATAGAAATTGAGATATACTCAATGTTTATAAGATAAAGAGTTAATAAGTTGTAGCATTGGGGGGAGGGGGAACTCCAGTGTATTTTGCTTAAATGCTGGCTTCATTTCATATCAATAATAGAGGTAGAAAAAACTATACAGAATATACTCGAAATTTAAGTGATGTTATTCCAAGGAGATAGAGTTCTTCAAGCTACTTTTAATACCTGCTATATGGTAAAATTTGCTAAACATGGTAATATCAAGGGTATGTAAGCTAACGTTATCTCAATGGGGGAAAAGCTATACGATTATGAGCTATAACAATAAGTAGATATTATTAAGAAAGATTTATTCTAAGCTTAGGTCTGAGTGAATCAAGTGATAAGTAAATATTACTGGTCATGGCCCCAAGACAACAAGAGGACAAATATTAATTTATCAGTTATTTGCTTTACTATGAATGATCTGAAGATGTAAGTCAGCTGGAAAACATAACTGCTTTAGCTACTGCAGATCACTAAGAATTTAATGACATGCAAATATAGACAGACAGTAGTACAAACAACGATGAGCTGATAACTTACTGAAAGATCAAATTATAGATCTAACATAAAGATACTGAAAATATCTTGATTTCCTGAAATAGAAATTTAACCATGTAACAAACATGCTGAAGAAAATATTACATGTGCAAAAAATATTACAAAATCTATCTCAATATAATTAAAGAGATTAAGAAATAACTATTGGAGAAGCTACCTTCTTCATAGTTCACATATACAATGAAGAAAGACTTCAAAATCATACATTAGAATCACTATACCACAATTATTTAAAATGTAAAGCTAACACCCACAATTTCCCTAGTTCCAAATTATAAACTAGAGGTTGAAATGTGATGGATTGCCTATAGTTTCATAATATCTACAGTATCAACTTAGCCAAGTTGGAGAACTAAAATATTTAATAGAAGTAACATTAAGAATATGATAGTATAGCCATGTAGAATACCAACAAATTTTTCCCCAAAATTGTGATTATCTTAATTGTGTATAACAACATATTAATGCAGCATCCACGTAGCTAAAAATACATTATATTAGTATACCCTGTACAGAAACTTTCTACACAAATTAAGCCTGTTGAAAGAAAAGTGCCATGCTAAAATTCATTTAAATAAAGCCAATTTTCATCTTAACAGATTGGGGGGGGGGGGTTAGGTATACCAGTTGATCTATGGTTTGTTCTTTATTCAGTAACTGATATTCCCATATACTCACCACAAAACCTGGAAATTTTGCTCTCTAAAAAAATATTGAAATGGTATTAATAAGTCAATCAGCATCTTATTTACCTGTGACTTGCAAAAACAGAAAGAAAATACCAACTGGGGCACTGTTGCGTTGTTTTGTTTTGTTTTTTAGCTCATAAGAAAATTTATGTCATGAACAACCTTAAATCCTCTTGGGAATTAGGTATGGTAAAGGTTAAGGAAGAAAGCAAGCCATTATATGTATACAAACAGAACCGCTCAAAAAAACTTAAACTATTGATGAATATATCAGTTCGCTTCCTAAAATGCTTTTAGCCTCCTTTTCAATAATCAACTTAAAAAGCACCATCCCCGAGCAGAACTCTTCGATCAGTTTTCTAGGACTGCCATATTTTCCTCCTTACCTAACTGTGCTGTAGAGCTAGCTGAACATCAACCACCCATTTCAGTGCAGAGCCATGAAAAGAAACACAGCCTAGTGAGGACTCCAAAGTTCAAGTGGATATGAGGAAAGCAGCACATCGCAAGCTATTCCTATGGCTGCATAAAAAATCTCTATCAATTTATAAGAAATTTTCCAACATGTATAACAGTACATTTCACCAGCCAATGGCACATCTACAAAGTTGGGTTTCTCTAAAAACAATACAAATCTGGTGGGGGAAAAAGTGGAACTCATCATTTATCTGCTTCCCATGAGTCAATTTAAATTTCCTAAATCCACAAGCCAATTTCCAAATATTCAGCAATTGTTACATGTATCAACAGTGCTCACCTGCATACTCATACACACACAAACTACATGCTTACCAAGCTATGAATCACCCACTAAAGAAAAAAACTTACAGAACAAAATGCATAATCCATCACTTCTTTCATTCCTTCAAAAAACCAAGTAACTAGACAATAAATACTCCAATGTGACTAACAAAATGATCACAATAAATTTCACCTATCACCCACCCCAGAAATAAAAGCTAACAAATTAGGATGTCAAAAACATGTGCATCAGCTTCAAAGATACTATACACCCTGTAGCCATGACTTACCTTCTTCTCTAAGGCTAGACATAACTTAAAAATGGATACAGTATGCATGCCAAATGTCATAGAAAACATTCACTACAAATGCTGGTTCTCAAATATTCAGAAATAATAAATCTTATTAAATGTAAAAAATTTGAAATTAAAATTAAAATCATTGCTAGCCTGAACTCCCACCTTAAATGAAACTTAATAAAGACTAAGGAATAATAATAATTCTTCAAATCAAAATATTTTAACAAGAAAATAAATTTAAAAATTTATTTGCACAGATGTATTCTTTTAGTTTTTAAGGAAAACCTCATTTAAATTAGGCTGCTCATTAAAAAAAAAAAAAAAAAAAAAACAGATGAACTACTTTATGGGCCTCAATATGACTCCCTTTAATATAGCGACTACTCTACTCAACATATCTCCTAAACACAACACAGTATTCATAGTGGAAATACTTATAAGCTGCTTTCTCCAAATTTAAACTAAAATATTTCCTTTTAGGTAGAAAAGGATTGGGGATTTCTCATTACATAAAGTCCCTGAAGAAATTCAAACTACTGCTGGATTCTTTATCTCATTCATCATTTATATCCTTTGCCAAGTGGGAATTTCTTTACATTTAACTCTTAAATAGTACACCTCTGGTCTTTATCACTCCAGAAAGCAACAGGTTAAGCACAGCACAACTGTACAACTGTACACTTTTCTGCCACAAAACCTATCCACCGAATAAGCCTTCCAATTGGACTAAGAGATAACTACAAATGAACGACACTTATCCAAGCCTACACAGTTCTTTAAAATAAAGCCCTAAAAAATTGATAAATCACAAATATATCTGATCTAGAAACTTCTCCCCCAAGTCTTAATATAAAGTAGAACAAACAAAAACAACATCTCTTTTTAAAAAGTTTTAACTCATTACATTTCCAAATCAGCACATTAATGTCTTACTGGTAAACTTGATGGTCTTTCTTGTTGTATTAAGTTCAAGTCTTCATGGTTAGGTTTTCCAGGAGCCAAAGGAGGTTGAGACCTAGTTCCATAGCCTTCCTGAGACATGTCCTAAACAAACACAAATATAAAGCACTTCATAAATATCTCAGTGAGTTGTAACAAAAACAAAGGCTTATCACAAACTATCAACATATTACAGTTGAGCAGATATACAAATGTTATATGGCTATTATTTAACACTTTATCGAAACTAGAAACAAAAAACTAAGCAGTGAATCATCAAGAGAAAAAACACGTATTTTTTAAAATATATATATGTATATACACACACACACACACACACACACAACTATATTTATTATGAGACCATACAAACTAAACAGCATATTTGAGTTTTGCAGGAAGGTAACAGTCAATAAACGAAAAGAAAGGAGGTCACCTGTAATCAAACTTTATTTTAAACCAGAGCAAACCAGAAGCTCATGTTATTGTTTAATTCTGATTTTTGTTGAGCTGCCTTTAATATTACCTTTAAAATGTCAAAATAATTAATGAAAACTTTATTAACAACTGACTTTTTGTATGTCCCCTTGATAACTCACAAAACGACATAGTTATTATGCTCACAGTATCCTGGGGTTTCTACAAAACCAATAAACATTCACGTATAGAATTCCATATGTTCACGTGGCATAGTTTCCAGAGAACCACAATAAAGAATAAAACAGCAGTAGGGAAACAAAACACACCCAAAAAACCTGCTGAGGTATGAGAAACTTATCATTAACATGGCCTTTCTGGCATCCTGTTGAACACTTTTCCAGGAGGTATTCTGCATGGTTTCAGTATTATGCTGAAATACTATTATATAAACCAAATACCACACCACACCAAACTTACTATATACCCAATCTCTAGCTGTTTAACTATGTATGCTCAGCTACTAAACATTCTATCACCATTTACACTCAAAGTCAAACAGCAGGACAGAATATAAAATACTTATTATAGCATGTCTTAATTGGCCCTGAAAGTTGGAGAACCAGTTTCTGAGTGGAGAGAAAAAAAACGAATACAAAATATCACTTAAAAATAAAATTCTCCCCTTTTCCCTGTCAGTGTTAGTATCAAAGAAACATTATACACAAGTTCTACTTCTCCTGTTAAACTCTCAAAATATTACATTAAAAATTAATGTTTATTAGGTGAAGCCCTATAAAAAGCTCCTATTGCCCCACCCCTTTCTCACACAGTATACACTTAAAATTACATGGCTTCTTAAGCCAAGAAACTTTGGACCAATAGCTAGTACTACAAAGTACACAAACTGTACAAACTAGATTTAACTAGCCAAGTGCTGGTTTTAAACAGGCTCTGTAATAAAGAGCATGCCAACAATACAGCATTTCCCGAGCAACCCTTTTATCCTTTAAGTAAAGCTACACACACACACACACACACACACACACACACACACAATTAATCAAAATATCTAACCTCTAAAAGGAATGCATAATGCCCAGTCAGTACCATGCTTTTGTAAGAGAGTTAAATCCCAGTTGTCCAGGTTTTAATCTGGTAACAGTTAGGTGAGGCCTCAGTAAGCACATGCAACCCAGGACACCCAAAAGGATAGCCCTTCAATCTGGCTGCCAGCAGAGGGTAACAATTAGGCTGCAAGGGACAAAAGCTGAAGGCTGAAAGATTATTACCACTCTCACTGCCCCCCTGCCCCCCAGCACCGTTTCTTCCGGATCCCAGACCTCCACTTGTCACACGGACTTCCCGCTGGGTGCCCTGCAGGTTCCTTTAGATTAACATAGAGGATTTCAAATCAAGTAGGGCACAAGGCCTCCATTCAGGGCCTTCACCACGCTACAAAAAAACCCCACAAAGGTGCTGGACAGCCTCACAATGGGCAAACAAATGAGCAGACCCCCGCTAGCTCCTCAAATACACGCGTGTGCACACAGAGTTTATGGGCAGTGCTCTCTCTCTCTCTTTTTTTTTTAACTAAACTCCGGTTAAGAAACAGGAACAGGCTCACATGCCCTATGCTTATTAGCCTTTTAAATTTTTTTTATTTTCCCTTTGTAGCTAAATAAACTGATTTTTAAAAGAGTTGAAAGAGACCATTACAACTATAATGAATACACATTTCAATTTAGATACTGTCCCCTCTAAAATAAGCAACATTGAACTAATAGACTATGAAAGCTATCAGAAAATTTTACTATGGTTTTACATTTCACTTTTTAAGGCTTTAGAAAGTTCAAAAATAATTAGATTCTACCAAAGTCTCAAACACTATTCCTAACCACAAGAGGCTTTTGATTATTAAATTCAGTTGGAAATAAAACTGAAACAAAATTTAGTGAGAATTGCTGAAGTGGGAACTTGTTCTGCCTCAATTTATGTTGAAACATAAGGATTAATTTAACCGAGAAAACATCCAGAAAAGGTACCAAGTTTTAACCTAAAACAATCATCATCTATATATAATTCACACTGGGACTATAAAGTCTACCTCTGGCAGCTTTAATAAAGATAGAAAGGTTATATTCCATAACAAACCTGAGATTTTCCCCCTTCAGAGCTATATTTATTTTCTAGTATGTACTTATTTTCACCTCAAGAAGAGTAATAGTAATGAGTACTTTAATAGACAATAAAAGGGCAATGTCAGTATCAGAAAATAAAGAAGATATTCAGCATCACATTTTATAAACAAATGACAAGACACAGCCTTACATTTTTAACACATCATCGCCATCTTTGTTTATTTACAGGTTTGAACTAGTGCACACTAGTGTGTATACTAGCTGACACGCACATTACTACATTCCTCTGCTGTACGCATACAAAGCCACGACTACCAAGAGTCTCTCACTGTGATCATGCTGCAATGCGAAAAGAACCGCAAGTGGGGAATGTGGTTTACCCCTTCCCAGTTCTTTATCAATATGAGTTTTCTTCATCTCACCCACAGACTTTTAACCATTCATGGATTCTGGTTTTAACCTTCTTCATGTTATGAGTCAAAGGTAAAAGGAAGATTGACTCAGAAAACAACAAAAGTGTGAAAAGAGTTTGGGGTACAGGCATGCACACATGAAGGGTCCACCTAGGTGTTTCTTTCAGCAGACGTGGTAGACATCTACTGAACACCTAGTATGGAACCCTCCTTTTCTTCAGCTACTTCCTAGCTTACGTGTGGAGCATGAGCAGGTAGTAAAACATTCGTGTCTCACTCATATCATAAGGAAGGATAAGGATCAAAATTGTCACGTGAGTCTACTGTCAAGGCCAGGAACCCGAGTGCTTCTGTTTTCTTTTATGGTGATAAATTAAGTACTAACGGTAACACAAGACTTTAAAGAAAATGAAGAATGAAAGGCAAGGACACCTTTTAAGAAAAAATTAAAAGGGAAAATGTTCCTATGGTATGAGTTCAAAAGATACAAAGCGAAAAACACTGAAAAACAGAGCAACCACCTTCTTTCCAGGATGCCCTCCACAAGAATTGCTGCTCATAGTTGTTATTTCTCTTCCCACGACTGCTCAATCCATTAGTTACCAAGTACAAATGTTTATTTAAATCCTTTTTCCTTTAAACATGATGTGGCATATTTCCTTTATTTTTTGGTCCCTTAACAATATAGTGTGGGGCTCATTCCATATCTGCATCTAAATATCTATTCTTTTGCTTAGTGCTCCCTAGTATTGCAGTATTTGTCAGTACTGTGACTTATTTAATCGGTCCCCTACTGATGGACATTCAGGTTGTTCCCAGTCTTTTCCTAACTCACACAGCACCATGATAAAATCTGCACACATTCATCTCCATGTGATCTATCTCTGGAGAATAATAAACCTCCAAAAGGAGAATTTCTGCCAAAGGGATGGTACACATGTAAACTTTTGACAGAGTCTAGCAAAGTGCTCTTAACAAAAGGAGCATCAGTCAACACTCCAGTCCATCATTCTGGAATAGTAGGAAGCCTCATTAAAAATATTTACCCTAGGACCTCAAAATGCCAGGGCACCTGGGGGGCTCAGATGGCTAAGCATCTGCCTTCGCTCAGGTCATGATCTCCGGGTCTTGGGATGGAGTCCTGCATTGGACTCCTAGTCAGCAGGGAGTCCCTCTCCCTCTGTCTCTTCCCCTGCTGGTTCGTGTTCTCTCTCTCTCTCTCTCTCAAAATTAAAAAAACGGGGGGGGGGGCAGGGGCAGGAAATCCAGAGTAGAGGGGAGTGGTAGGAGAATTGGGAGACAGTAACAGAAAGGAAAACAAAAATTCGAGAGCACATACACAGAATACAAACCAAAGGAAGATGGATGAGCAGATGTGGTAAAAACACCTCAGTCCTAGACACACCAATGGTACTAAGGGGCCAGGGAGGATTCAGTCCAGAAACCAGCAAAAAACTAGATAGAACACATGGTGATTTTCAGGTTACTTAAGAAAGGTTTTCAGGTTACTTCAATAATCACACGAAGTACAGATGTGCTACAAAGAATAAAAATGGTCACGTTAATACTATTGCAATAATCCAGAGTAGGATGATGAGAACTTGAATGGCCTCATAAGGTCCTACAGTATCTAGGTCAGAAAAAATTTCTTGCTCCTTTTTTCTCCCTGCTTTGGAAACTCCCATCATCAATTCCAACTACTAACAGGGAAAAGAAATGGTTCCAGCATTATCAGACACTGTTGTAGGAGGGAAGGGCGTCATGGCCACAGAGAAAATGTCCCCATGGCCACATGGGGCTGCCAGTCATGTGAAATCATTACTCTGATCAAGGAACTCAGCATGCTATTGACCTCCCCAGCTTTAGTTTGTAGATAAATAAATGTAAAATATCCTTTCCAAAAGGAAAGCAACATAAATCTATAAAATACCTACTTCAAAATGGCACAGTCGACATTTCAGGAACGCCCTAATGGAAATGTTACTAACAAAGACAGCTGGCATTTGCAGACAGGGCTGTGACAGGTACCGTGCACGGTCCGCCTTTATAATAAATCCTATGAGGTGAGTCCTTAGCATCCTCTTATATTTTACCACAAGGAAGCAAAAGCTTGCACAGCTAATGTCTAACACTG